GACCATGGATCGTTACTTGTATGCTTCCCGTCGCCGCCTTGTTCGCTCTACGGATGCTGCTTATCGTCGCTCTATCGTTGGATAATGCTTGCGTCGTCGTCCCTGCTGCCCCTGTCCCTACTGTCACCACAGCCCCTGCTGAAGCCCCGCTGGCCGATGCAGCCCTGCAGGTCACTGCCGTCTCTGACTGCCAGGTCGACTCCGGTATGCCGGTGGCTCCTACCCGACCCCTGGATGACAAGTCCATCAGACCCAGGCCCGATCCCCAGATCGTCACTTGCATCGACCCTGATCCAGCTGTATTCATCCTCTCTGCTGCCGTCAGCGTGACCCTATCGCTCGATACAGCCCCTGTCAAGGACCCTCCCTGCCCTCCCGTCGTCACCGATGCTCGGAGGCTCGAGCCCGTGCTGGCTGATGCCAAGCATACGACGCTTGTCTCTCCTACCCAGTCTGTGGCTGAGCAAGCAGATGCCTGTATACGGCCGACCGACGATGCCTGTCCGCTCCCAAGCCCTGCACAGTGTAGGGTGACGCTTGCACTCCCTGTGCTGGCCCTGTTGCCCGGCTCGGCTGTGCTCATGGTTGCGAGGTCGGTCGAGTACATGGCAGTGCTGCTTGCGGCTGTCTCCAGTATTGTCAAGGTGACCTGTGCGCTGGAGCCCCTTGATTGTCCTGCTCTACAGATGACGGCCGAGTCTGATAGCCACTCCGATCCCTCGCATGAGCTGTGCCCTGCTCGCACCGTCGGGCTTCTGTCTGAGCTCCCAAGCTGTCCTCCGACTACAGTGACGTGTGCCGACCCTGTGGCTGCCTGGTTTGATCTGCCCAGCCATGAGCTCACCGCCCCCTCGTCCCACGACAGTTGCTCCGTCACGCTTCCGACAGACCCTACGGATGTCAAGGAGACATGGTGACTTCTGCTCGCCCCCGCCGTGCCCCTGCATCGTATCGAGGTCTCTGATTCCCAGTCAGTGCTTGTACATGCGGACACGCCTAGCCTCCCTTGCGGTGATGACATCGCGGAAGACAGCCCTGATCCCTTGTACCGTCATGCTCACAGATCCTGTACCTGCGCCGTTGTGTACACGCACCGAGCTCGTCTGGCTAGCTCCTGAGCTCCAAGCTTCTGTGATGGTGGCTACAGCCTCACCCACGGTCAACGCCAGCGATTTGCTTTCGCCTGATCCTCCCGACAGCCTGCAAGCTACCGCACTCTCCGACATCCATGATGTGCTCTCTGC